AGGTCAAGACCAATTAAAGAGAAAATGGAAGAGATCATATATATATATATTATATTATATATATAATATATATATATATATATATATATATATATATATATATATATATATAATATATAATATATATATATATATATATATATATATGATTTTAGTTATTTTATTGGTTAATATTTATATTGATGTTTTATAGAAACTCTAGTATATTCTTAAAATCATAAATAGAGAATTCTTCCAAATTTAAATTTAGGATGTTATATTGTATGTGTTGAGGCAAGCATCTAAGGCATGGTATGAAAGGTTTAGTATATTTCTCCTAAATAAAACTCTTGTTAAGAATGGTGTTGACACCACCTTATTCCTAAAGATAGTAAAATATAATATACTCATTGTTCGAATATATGTTGATGACATATTATTTGGACCAATAAATAAACATCTTTGTAATGATATTTTAGAAACTATAAGTTGAGAATTTGAGATGAGTATGATAGATGAGATTACATATTTTCTTAGATTTAGTGTAAAGCAAAGGGATAATGGTATCTTTCTGAGTCAAAGTAAATACAACAAGAAAATTCTAAAGAAATATGAGATGGAAGGAACTAAAGTAATTAATACACTCGTGAGCTTGATCGTTCAATTAGACAAGGATGCAAATGAAAAATTAGTTGATTAAAAAAAGTATAGGGGGATAATAGGATCACTTATGTATTGACTGCTAGCAGACTAGATATCATGTTTAGTGTTTATCTTTGTGCAAGATTCTAAGTTGATCTCAAAAAATCTCGTATGATAGTAGCTAAGAGAATCCTTAGTTACTTTTTAGGCATCCAAAATTTTGGTATCATGTATTCTAGACATAACTTTCATTTGAAATTATTGGATATTTAAACTTAGACTTTGTATGGTCTAAAATAGATAAAACAATATTTTCAAAACCAATCAATTCATAAGGAAATCATTAGTTTCTTTGTCTAGTAGGAAGCAAACGTCAATAGCTCTATCCACCATGAGGTAAACTAAATATTAGTAAGAAGATGTGTTTATCAAGTGTTATGGCTTAAACAATAAATTCTTGACATTTGACTATCTGTAGGGATCATTCCAATTATGTGTGATAACACTAGTCCCATATGCATTTGCAAAAATTTAATTCAATACTCCCACACTAACCATATAGATGCTATACATCATTTCATTAGTGATCATGTAGTCAAGAGAGATATATAAATACATCATCTAGCAAATAAAAATAACTAGAAGACATTTTCACCAAACCTATAAGTTATGACACCTTTAGCACAATAAGGCCTAGACTAGGTACCATAACATTCATTCTTGATTCAGGGAATGATTGAAATCAACAACTTATGTAGTCAGGTGATTCATGTGTTTTTGTGTTTCTTATATTATTTATTTATAATTATTATTTCAATTTGTGTGTTTAATATCCCTAATTAATATAAGTACTCTAATCATTGCACGCCATACACGAAAAAATTACTTGAAAAAAATTAAATATTACAAAAACTATTTGTATTGTATTGTACAAACCTCATTCATACTATATGATTCGCACACTTCTGCACATTATTACCACTTATGAAATTAATGGTCCCAATCTAACTAATGATTAATGATCGTACTGTATGACTACTTACTTGTACTATGCGATCCACATATTAGAACCCGTTGGACAAATTTAATCAGTTGTTATGAAGTTCAAAATGTCTTCATATCGTGCGAACACTTATTCATAGTGTACAAACCTTTAGTCCAAGGTCATAACATATGACTCCTCGGGAAGAATTCCTTTTTTGAAGATCATCCAATGATCCTAATTGTATTATATAATTTAATTGCTTTTTCCAATAGATCGCCTAGGTGACTTAAAGTCTTTTGATCATCTAGTACGATCCCCCATTGTATTATATGATCCCCCATCCGTATGATCTTTTGAAAAATCTATAAAAGGAAGGGAAAGCTAAGGATTAAATAAAAACTTTAAGCTTTCTCTTATCTTGAACCTTCCAGCCTCCATCCTTAGAACTTCATATAACATGTGGTAGGTGAGCCCATATGCTCTAAGTTAGTTCCTCTCATCGTCCTATTGACGAACAACCCCTTTCAAACAATCCAGTATGAATCTGTATATCACTAATTCAAGGAAGCCCACATTACACCTTCACGCATTTTGAACCAAGGCATCATCAATTCTTAATTTTTACACTAATGGTTTTTAACACTCATGGGAAGGAATCTGATGGCATAAGATAACAATTCTAAGTATTCCACAACTTTGAGGCTTCTTCTATTTCCTCTTCTTGTTGTATCGTAGCCTCCCTTTGATAGAAAATTATTAGTCTTGGTAGGAATTGAGTAATTTCAGGTTGGAAATATGCAATAAGAAGCCTATTTCCTCTTCTTATTATCCCGTAGCCTCCCTTTGTTCGAACATAGTTAGTCTTGGTAGGAATTAAGTAATTTCAGGTTGGAAATACGCAATTATTGTTTCTTGAAGATCTCTTTGTTAATTGCGTCTACGCAAAATTCTTGGTAAGCTCTTATACCACTTTGACACCATCCTCTTCCTTCAACAGAGGTTCACCATAGAAAGAACCTCCTCCAGAGATATATAACCCGTAAGAACCACTTCCTTGGAAACTAAGGATATACATGACAATAATTCTTAATAAGAAAGAAATGTAAAATATGCTTCCTTCTGAAGAAAGGTTGTTATTTATATTTTATTGATCTTTAGTGATCTTAGCACCCTAAATGAAAATAAATCTTTATGTTTTTATCAATGTATTAGTAAAACTAAAGTTACAGGAGCTTTAAATAAAATGAAGTGTGGAAAAGCTGTTGGACCTAATGATATTCTAATAGAGGTATGGAAATGCTTAGGAGATGAAAGAAAGTCTTGGCTTAATAAACTTTTTAATAATGTTTTCAAAACTAAAAGGATGTTAGATGAACGAAGAATGAGTGTATTAATTCCTATTTTTAAGAGTAAAGATGATGCATAAGATTGTGTGAATTATAGAGGAATTAAGTTAATGTGTCATACTTTAAAACTATGGGAGCGAGTTATGGAGCATTGGATGCAGCAAGATACTAATGTTTCTCAAAATTAGTTTGGATTCATGCTGGGTCGGTCTACTATGGAAGCCATACATTTATTGAGAGGTTTGATGGTAAAATATAGAGAGAATAAGGAGGATCTACATATGATATTTATTGATTTAGAGAAAGCTTATGATAAAGTTACAAGAGAAGTTTTATGGAGAGTTCTTGAAAAGAAAGGAGTTAATAATTCTTATATTCAAATCATTAAAGATATGTTTGCAGTAATTATTACTTATGTTCAAACATAAGGTGGTTTGATCAATTATTTCCCTATTTCGACTGGATTATATCAAGGATCAGCCTTAAGCCCATATTTTTTTGCTATATTCATGGATGTTCTCACTAGACATTTGCAAGAGGATTTACTTTGGTGTATGTTTTTTGCTGATGATATTCTTCTTGCTGATAAGACTAGAGAGAGTAGAAGGTAAACTTGAATTATAGAGGTCAACCTTAGAGTCTAAAGGTTTTAGCTTAAGTAAATCTAAAATTGAGTATATATAGTGTAATTTTAGTTGTAATAGACCTAGTGAGGGGATTGTGACTTTGGGCATTCAAGTCATTAATAAGAGTACACATTTTATATATCATGGATCTATTATTTTGAGTGATGGTGAAATAGATGGGGATATTATCAATAGAATTCAAGTTGAATGGTTGAAGCGGAGAAATGCATCTGGCTCGTTGTGTGATAAAGTCCACCTCAAATTTATGGGAAAATTTTATAAGATGGTGGTGAGACCTGTAATGCTTTATGGTGCCGAATGTTGGCTATTAAAAAAGAAGCATAATCCTAAGTTAAGTGATGCATAGATGAGGATGCTAAGGTGGATGAGTGGCTTTGCCCTTAGATATAGGATACGAAATGAGCATATAAGTGAAAATGTTAGAGTAGCGCTAGTTGAAGATAAGATTAGAGAGAGTCGTCTTTGGTCACATAAAATGGCGGCCTTCGGATGACCTAGCCAAGAAGGTAGAAGTATTATATTTGTAACTTATGTTAAAAAAGGTAGAAGTACACCTAAAAAGACTTAGAAAATATTAAAAATGATCTTTCATTATTAGATTTAAACGAGAATTTTATTTTTAACAGGACAATGGAGAAAAAAAGATTCAGTAGACAACCTCACGTAGTGTGACAAAGGCTTGATGTTGTTGTTGTTGTTGTTGCACCCTACACCTATGGGTGAATCCTGCAAAGGGCCACCAAATAGCACAGGTAATGCTCTTTAAAACTCACCCAACCTAGCCCACTGACCAAGATTCAGATCCTCTCTAATTATTATGATATAACCACAAAGTAATTATCGGCCCAACTGAGTCATTTCTTATGTAGTATTAACTTTGTATGATCAAAGCTATTTGAAAATAAATTAGTGTTTTTTAATCTCGACCATCCAATTTAAGTTAAGTGATCACAAATTTGGTAATCAACGGTCACCCCTTCAGTACAATTGAAAAAACGTATTTATATTTTCTTATACGCAATGACTGCTTTTCAATTACTGGAAAGATTTATTATGACAAAGTTTGCTTCTTGTAAAGTTATTGCTCCATGTGCTAACCAGTAAAAATATATATGTTCCTAATAAGCACTCAATTGTTCCCTCTAAACCTAGCCCAATATGCTCCATAAGAAGAAAAAAATAAGAAGATATAAAATTATCATCAACTAAAATATAAAAAGATAAAGATAAAGGAAAAAAAATAAAAATCTTCCGTGTCATCACCATTAGTTTCATCAGACCTTTAGATAAAAAGGCTTTGGGCTAACAGACTTTGGACCCATTTTCAAAGCTCTTATAATAGAAGCCTTCAGACCAGCAAAATCAGTCAAAGAATCCCTTCTCGCTTCAACAATTCACTGTGCATATATGTATTCCATCTAAGATTGAGATCAGTGGAAGAAACACAATTGTTGCTCTCTTTATAGCACCCACATAAGAGAAAGGCAATTACATGTCTATTATTAATCTCAAATCATAACAGGAAGCTGGGTCAAATCAAATGAAACTTGCAATGAGACACTGAAGGATTGCAAACTTATAAAATAAAGTTACACAGACATTAAAACAAGAAACTACCAGAAGAAGCTCGTGCTCAACTGAGACCTCATAGATGAAGGCTGCGACTGATCATCTTCATCATGCGAAGGAGAATGAGCGTGTCGCCCTTCATATGTTGTGATCACCATTCTCGGGTCCTCCGCAAGCCTTTCGACCCTTTTCTTGACACGACAATTATCTTGTGTGCACCTGTAGTAGCTCCTACACAAGATTATACGTATGATCACAAAATGCAGGCATATATCATTATTGCATGTAAAGCTAGCTAACAGCACAATCACAAATAAGAAAGTAGAAAAGAAAAACAATGATGCAATTATTTTTTTGAACACAAATGGCCCAAACACATAAATTGCTCTTTCCTTCATGATGATGAAGGTGATGATGATGAGCATACAATAATCGTGGCCATCAGATTCACCGCCATCAATCCACTTTGGACTAGATTGATCATTTCCAAATGAAAACGGACGGACCATCATGGCCTCTGGATAACATGATTGCATTGGCATCATCAGCTTCAGTTCCTTTTGAGAGTAGTGGAGAGCCAGTGTAATCATGAAAAGTTAATTAGCTAGCACACGGATTATTAGGAAAGGACTTGTCTCCTGAATCAGCTCGTTTAGTTGTTTGCTAAGGAAGACTTTATCACATGCGCAGATAGATAAAGTTACCTATAATTTCACTGAAGTTATGCCATGATGTTTTATACAAAATTAAGTTCTAAAAAAATTTTCCGCAACTGTGTTTTTTTAGCGCATGACTAAAAGTTCTTCATGAACAAAGCTACTGAAAATAATTTTAAAAGAAAAATTCTATCAATTAGAACAACAAACATCTTGTTAGTTTTCTGTTAGCAAAACAGTGTAGTAGTTAAAATGATGTCATCTGCATATTCTGATCTGTTAATCTTTAACTCGGTTGGTCTAATAAAATTTTAGTCTTCGGTGGATGGAAAAGTAATCAGATAGAAAAGGAAACAAAGGACTTCTTGTGTGTGTGAGTTTGCCTTAAATGGCCTAAATGTCTCAAAAAAAAAAAAAACATTTAGTAGATTATCACTTATTAAGGAAAGCTTAACTTGAACAAACTGATGTTCAAGTAAAAATACTGAAAATATGCATTTGTTGAACCAGTTCCTTTCATAACCCTAAAATATAGAAGTTAAAAAAACTGTATTTGTTTTGCCTTTTAAAATTACAGCAAATTCAATTTCATATTAAGCTAAATATCATCTCAGTGGAATTTAGAAAGTACGCGTAGATTTCAACATGTTAAGTTGTTAACCATTTGCGTGAAAATATTCATATGAATTACACACTTTGCTTGGGTTAATACTTTTTAATAATGGATGGTGGCTGGTTCGAAAATGAGAAAAAAAACAAGCTATTTTTCTTCATTACCTATTCAAACATAATATAAAATATCTGTCTTCTTTATATTGGTCACACTGTAGCAAATCAGCAACCCTCCTGTCAGCCCTAGAACTAAGTGTCGCTAAATGTTAGCAATAATTTCCCTGGTGAAAATGATTAAAGCTGCCCTTGAGAAGCAAAAAAGTAGAACATGTGGTCCTTCTCATTAGTTTTCTTTTTAAAAGAAAGACCAAGCAATATATATATATATATATATATAAGTAGGGAAAATAATTGTGAGGAGCACATCACTTTTTTTTTTCCTTTTAAGTGTTCTAAGAAAATACAGCAAAAATAAATGACATGATTAACCTTTTGTTCATCATGTCTTCTATAAATAAAAATTTCTTCCATTTTGACCGTCCTTCAACCTAGCTTTGTTGTCTAGGCATCCTGCCACAAAATTCAATATAAACTGATAAAACTATATATATATTTTTTCTCGAACAAAAAAGAAGAGTGCATGGTTGAGGCATCCACTCGCTCACTCTTATAACTTTCTCTTACACCTATATCTCTCCCATTTTTAAATGCATAAGATCTACCTTATCTTTGTGACCAATAAAAACAAAAACAAAAACATTATAGGTGAAAAAATCTTATATATATAATTTTAATTCAATACAAAAATATTTTCTAACCACAAATTATTTAATTAGTGTGATCAAATAATTTATTGCCACACGGAATAGGATAATGGCTTGATATTGCTGTTGTTCTTTTATATTTTATAATGTCTTTTTTACCGTTTGTATGCCAAAAATTATTTGAAAATATTTTTTTATAATAATCTATGACTAAGATTTTAGTCACACAAGTAACACAGTTTTTTCAAAATTTGTGAGGCAAAAGTGTGGATAATGATCTTTAATTTAATCAGTAATTTTAAAAATGTCTGAGATTAAAATTAAGTTTCAATTATATAAAAATAATAATTTAATACAATAAAATACATAGTTTAGTTGTCTTCATTATGTCACTCGTCACAGCTTGCATAGCAATTAATTTTGATGGATATTACTTAAGGTTAGGATATTCTACAAAATTTTAGTCTGTATAAGTGTCAAAATTGGTGGTTTTTTTTAATGTATACGATACCAAACAAAATTTATATTAAATTCAGCATATATTAAAATCCTATAGCTTTAAGATTCGTCTTAGCATTAGAATATCCTGAGCCAATTGTTTCCAATTTTATGTAATTAATTATTTTTCAGAATTCTGTCTTATATATCCAACATTGATTACAAATTAGTATTCATAACATTACATAAAAGTTATTTTATTTAAATCATTACATTATGACAAACTAAGTTAATTTTGTTGTGAACAAGCGAAGTACACTAATTGGTAGAATTAGGGTTAAGTAAAGTTTTTTTTTTTATAAGTAATCGACTAACTTAGGAAAAAAAATCCCATTTTTTTAAAAAAAATTATAATTTCGTGAAAGATAAATTGTTTAATGTACCAGAAAAATTAAATTCATGAAACGTAATTGATAGATCTATACTAAAAAAAAATAATCTATACTACGACTAAAACATTTAATATTTCTTCAATATAGAATATCAACCTTTTCATTAATAACAAGAATCACATTCATTAATTTTAAATTGAAATTTTAATGTAAGACATTATACTTTATTTTAATATACAAATAAATCATATTATCTATCATTTAACTATTTTTTAAACAAATTTAACTTAATATTTAATTATATTAATTACATTGACAATAATTTATTAACACAAGATGTAATTAAGCAGTAAAATATACTTTATCCCTTTTCATCAATTTTGAATTACTTTTTATACAAAACGCATAAGAAAATTACCAGCTAAGAAATATTTAATTCATCAAATAAATATCAATATTGCATAATACTATGTATACTTGATTGTTTAATATTAATTAATGTGGCATTTTAATATTTATTTTAAACATATCTCACTGTTTATAAGTTTTAAAATTGTTAGCAGAATTTTATGACAACACATAATTTTCATCACTGCACGCATGCGAATATCGGGCGTTCCGTCTGCTAGGGTTTTACCCCCTTGTTAGGGCTTTTGCCCTAGCTTTTTCTTCGCTTTTTCTCCGACTTTTTGGTGTTCATGGCCAACAAGAGGTTGAATCCGGGCTTCCTTGCGGGTAAGAGCTCTAAATCTTTCAAAGATGCTTTGTCTGGCTCCGTTGATGCGAATGCTTTTCCGGATTTTCGCGTCTCTACGATTCGCGGTTTGCCAGCTTTGTGGTTTTCAGAGGAAGATTTTATGCATCTTGCTAAGCCTTTTGAATTTGCGTTGGTAGGGAAGTTTCCCCTTAAACGACCGGTTCTGGATGCAATCCGTAGGTTTTTTTTTAACCTGAAGTTATCTGGCGATTTTTCCGTTACTTTGCTGGATCAATCGAATGTTTTGATAAAGCTTTCTAATGATCTAGATTATGGTCGGGTTTTTTCTCACCGTTCATATTTTGTTTATGGTTGCTTCATGAAAATTGTGAAGTGGTCGCCTACTTTGGACCTGTCGGAAGAGTCACCTGTCGTTCCAGTTTGGATTTCTTTTCCGGGACTTATACCTCTTCTATTCTCCTCTCGAATACTCTTTGGCCTGGGATCTGTTTTTGGCAGGACGATCCAAACGGATAATGCGACGGCTGTGGTATCGCGTCCCTCAGTCGTGCGCATACTTGTTGAACTTGATATTTCCAAAAATTATCCTGATTTTGTTTGGCTGGGTCCGGAGAAGCTAGGGTATGTGCAAAAGGTTGTTCTTGAAGGTTTGCTCAATTTTTGTCAACATTGCAAAGTTGTGGGGCATAAAAAATCGGATTGTGCTAAGCTTTATCCTAATTTAGGATCTGTGGAAACCGTGGCTCCGGCGCCGCTTAATTCGCTGTCTAACCCTTTACCGAATCCTAATACGCTTGATTTTTCGCCTATTACAAATGAGCCTTCGTGTGAAGTTGTTTCGAGTAATGGTGTTGTTATTCCAGTTCTTGGGGAGTTGAATGGTCTTATTGATATTAATGTGGAGCAGGGTGTAGTTTTACCTTCTGTTGTAGTTCCGGTTTATTCCCCTGGAACCCCTATTTCGTTGGAGAATCCTTTTGGGCTGGGGGGTACCGTGTTTTCTGAACTTCGTGCTGGGGTTCTTTCAGCCGCTGATGGTTTAGATAGGGTTGGTTGCTCTGTTTTGCCGGTTTCGATTTCTGATGCTTTGGATGACTCGTCGTCTAATGCTGTTAATCGGTCGAATGCTGCTAATGATTTTTTATTATCACCTAATGCCATTCCTTTTATGCCCTCGGTTTTATTGGATGGTTGTGATTGTGAGGATTCTCCTACGATTTCTTTGGTGCTGGAGGTGCCTTCTGTTGAGGTGAATGTTGTGAATTCTGATGACTCGCCTGTCTTGGGTGTTGTGAATTCAAATGGGGGTGTTCAAGATTTTAAGCATTCGGATGGTGGTGTGGATGGTTTTCTGTCTGCTGTTGTGGTTCCGATTGGGATTGATGCGGAGTTTTCGTCTCTGGGTGGGGAGGAAGGTAACCCAATTGCCAACAGTTTAGTTGAGGTGCCTGTGTGTGAGGTTGATCCACATGTGTTGGCTAACTATGTGGGATTTTCCTCTGGTTTGGAGATTAGGAATCAAAATAATTGGTTAATTGATTCGTTGGATGCTGAATCGGATTCTGAATCTTTTGAAACCGACCATGATTTTTCTTTGGGGCGTAATCCTAAGATTGTCACTCGCGGGAAATTTTGGGGGAGAGGTCGACGTAGAAGATGAATGTTTTTCTGTTCTTCTTGTTGGTTCTTCTCGGGAATTTTCGGCTATTCTGTTCGATTTGCTGTTTCGTGTGGCTAAGAGCAATGATGTGGTCGAGGCTCGCGACCCGGTCGTTTTTGCTGGTGGCAACCGTAGGTGTGGATTTTCGTGTTGGTTCGGTGGAACATTTTCGACATTTTACTGGAGGGTCCGTGCGTGACGTCTTGGACACTGGAAGCCTTGACTATTTACTGAGCTCGCTTTTAGTTGCACTCCCCTCTGTTGTTTGGCCTGTTCTTTTCCTCGTTTATTTTTGTTTATGCGGCTGTAACCTCTTGTTGTTTTATTAATATATATATATTTTGTCAAAAAAAAAGTTTTAAAATTGTTAGCTATAATGTACTTTTATTGTATTTCTTAAAATATCGTATTAAAATTTAAAACGGTATAACAATTAACATTTAATGAAAAAATAAATTAATTAAGTAATTAAAGGAATTTAAAATTAAATTAAAATTTTATTTTTTCAAAAATTCTATACGCTGAACTTAATGTAACTTGCACGTTGTGTAGGAATATTTCTTAAATATGCCTTTAAAAAGGGTATATCTACGTTGTTGCATGCAAAAGTGCCAAAACGGGAAAATTTTAAAATGAGAATTAATAATTAACTGCTCATGTGGCGTTATCATTTTAAAAATGCAAATTTTTATATATTGTCCTTCACTTGAAGATTTCAACAAATGAAATTGATAATGAATTCAGCAAAGTGTGCCTTCGAAGATGTACAAATTATTGAAAGACACATCATGAATTTCTTTTGTATGATTAACATGCAGACAAAATTATCTCACATGACAATGTATTATAAAGTAGCTATGGTAAGCAAAATAAGTTCTCAAACACGATAAACTAATAATGGTTTATGATTTATTTAGTTGAATCTTGATGATAGAATTTATGACATGCTATACAGTACCTCCTGTTTTAGATTTTCTCATATGAGCAAATGAAATAATCTTAAGCTGGTTTTTAAAACAAAGAGATCGATTACATATCATATTATTAGTTACATTAAAAAATGCTGTTTCTGGAAATATTTTTAATTAGCAATTTTTAATTTTAATCAAGTTTTATCAAGTGTAACTATTGTTGATATGATTGTGTGTGTGGACTGTAGCGGAACCAGCCTTATATTTCAAAAGAGGGGGGGTGTCTGTAAAACTAATAAGTAATTATCGGGGGTACAAGGGGTAGTGCCCCCTGGCGGGGTTCGACCGCACCAGGGGCAATTGCCTAAAGATCATAGTATTTTAAAAATTTTAGTGGGGGCAATTGCCTAAAAACCCTTGTAATAAAGACTAAAATACCTAAATAACTATATAATAAAAAAAATTATTTTTTTGGGGGGGAGTTTAAGCCAATTAAGGGAAACTAATACATACATCACATACGGATAATTCAAACCAAAGACCTTTTAGTTGGTAAACAAAGTTTCCAACTAACAAATCAAGAAGAGTTGTGTATCATTAGAGATTTAGAGATGACTATTGACATGCGGTTTATAGTTTGGCTAGAACTTCTAATAACGGATCACTTCTTCAACAAATGTAACTATAATATCCAAAAGAGCGACTACAAACATCATTTTTGGTCAAATAAAAAAATTTAGATAATAAAAAGGCAAGGTTATAGCCAAAATTTGGTGTAGTGAGCTATAATTAAAATAAGGCTATCAACATTTTAACATCAACGAAAAGAATTCCCAACATAAAAAATGTTCCAACAATCAATATGATTTAAACTCGACTCTTGATTGTATGCCTAATATGATAGTCAAATTAAGGAAGGATAGAAAAATGAAATATCTTCTAAATTTTTCTCTATCACAATCTCGCTCTATATTCTCCTTGCTAATTACTCATTCTCAATCATGAGAAAGTGTTACAATGTGACTCATAATTAGCAAAATTTCATTTATTAGAATTTCTTCATGTCTTAAGAGTTTAAATGAAAATAACACATAAAAAAATTCCAGAAAATGAATAATATAAATACAAATATTGAAGGAAAAGAGCTATCCACAGGCGTAGTTTATAATTAAGCAGTTAAATTTATAAAATTAAAATGCATTAGTTTCATAGCTAATTTTAATAATCATTTAATATGAACATAATTAGCATGGAGTACTTCAAATCCTACTATCATTGATGTTTCTTCTTATCTATATGTCTGTCATGTGAACAATTTGTTGCATATTTTCATATTTATTATATGTAAAGTGATATAGTATAATAGTAGGAAGGACACTAGCCACGTTTTTGAAAAGAAAAAAAAAAACTTTCAGAATTTAAGTTAATGATCAATAATCAGTCATAATTTTTCTTAGAAATTGCAGCTACAAATATCTTTTGATCACAATAAACTTAATATTGTCAAATTTGTTTAAAATTTTTATTAAAGCTTACAATTATTTATCTACATTTATATTAAAAGATTTGCGACTTAAATCATTAATCACACTATCAATAGTTAAGTTTCACTAAAAATAAAATAATTATGAGATTGAATTAAAGTATGTTTAATGATTTTTCATGACATAATTTTGTTAAAATGTACAACTAAAAGTAATGTTTAACTATATTTTTAAGACAATGTTATAAAGCATAAAATTAATGGTCATTGAAAGATGTGAAGGCATTAAATTAGTGTATAAGTGTTATGTCATACTTAAAAAGATTTATAACTTGAAATAAACTCTTCGATCGCTTATGTGTTTCAAGCTCTCTATATCATTCCTCTCAAACTTATAGCATTCAATATACAAAATAAAAAAGCCGAACATCAGCAAATTACCAATTAAAATAAATTATAAGCAGAATCAAAATAAGCTCATAAGAAAATAAACATCTCATGATCGCGCTATTTCTATCATTTGTTTTGAATCCTAAACAAGAGGGAAAAAAATCTATGGCTATAGATTTTTCATAGATTTCCATCCAAATTAGAGAGTGCATGCAAAGTGCTTATCTTCAGCCATGCAAAGATCATCCATGAGACTATATAAAAAAATGCACTAGGTTCTTGGGAGATTCGAATTTTGTGCGCATGTTGAGAATAATAAAAAAAATGAAGTTAATATGGGCAAATTAATTAAGAAGAGAGAGAAGAACTAGGAATCTGCATCAGAACCATTTATATATATTTAATGACAAAGTTTATTTATTTATTTCAGAAGTATAAAAGTATGTATATAGAGAGCCATAAGTACCTTGGGTGCTGAGTGTTCTTGACTACCTTCTGACCATATTTCCTCCACTTGTATCCATCATCCAAAACATCCACCTCACTCATGGTTTTGAAGCAAAACCTTGGCTCCCTCACCTTCCTTCGTGCTTTAACCTTCTTCATCCTCATAGCTCCAACTGATAAGTTGTTTCCAACCCTATTAATCTTAGGGTTTACAGTATAATTACTTAGGTTTTCGTGAATACTTTTATCACTCATACTGCCAATATTCTTGTGAGTATCAACTGTAGCCCTAGGCCCTCTGGTTGTTTCCTCACTCCATGACCTGTCAACCACAAATAAGCGTTGAAACACAAATATTATATGAATAATTAATTTTAGGAAAGACAAGGCGTAATTTTACCAACAAGGATTTGTAGTGGATCGGAGCAAAGTGGAAGCTGCTTCAGAAGCCCTAAGAGGAACAGATGAAAGAAGTGCTGTTTCTTTTAAGTGAGGGGAAGAAGAAGATGAAGCTTCAGCTACAACGTCGGTAGAGGAAGCAAACAACCTGTTTTGGATTATTCCTAGGGGATGGCAAGTTAAGGGAGGGAGAGATGAGGATTGAAAGCTGAATCGTATGTGGGATGTCTGATCCATAGGAACTTCATGACTCTCCACCAATCCTTCGCGCAGGGAAATTTCTGCAGTTGATGGCAACATCTTTTCTCTATTTTTTTTTTTGTTCCTTCTCCTCAATAGTTTTTTCTTCTCTATTTGAATCTTCTTTCATTCATCTTTCTCTCTCATAAATGACAAAGGAATGTGATGAAAAATAAAAGATGGTAGGTACATTGTGGAGTTGGAGATGAGTTCTATTGAAAGGAACCGCATATCTAACTTTCCTCGTGTAATCAAACAATCACGAGGGACCACTCTTTCGGGAAAGAATGGGATCCATGAAACAAAATTATGTAAATACTTTTTTTTTTTTTTTTAATTAAAACCCGCGGAGGGGCCTACGTGTTACTTCAAAAATCGGTTACAAAGTCCTTAAAAGGACCAACCAGCAAACTAGTGCTCAGAAGAGCTACAATCCAAAAGTTATATAACTTACTTTTATATTTTAATACTTATTATATCATAAATTATAACACATCATATTAGTTTTACTGATTTTAAAGGTGTTAAACCATTATTGTGTCAAAAATGGATTGCACGTGGCCATTGTATATTTTATTTTTTATTTCTTAGTGTATTTTAGATATATAAAATTTGTATATTTCAAATGTAATAAGAAATATAAATGTACAGAAGATCAATTTGAATTAAGAGATTAAAAGATTGTGGAAAGAAATGACTGCCACTTATGGCGCTTTGCGCATCTTTTTCAATAGTTGTGACACATTTTTGTGCATCTTTTTACTTGTGGGCTTATTTTGTGCTTCTTTTTCAAATTGCGAACCATTGCGCATTCCTTTTGATTTTTGTACATTTGTATATTTTTCAAGAGTAATCTTGATCTTTCCAAAATCAATAATAAAAATTTTCAAAATTTTTTAAGTGCACCAATATTTATTGATAAGTGAAATACAAAATAAGAAAACATCACAATTGCAATAATAATATTAAATATTAATGTTGTCTAATAAGAGACATAAAATTGATATTCTTAATTTTATCAAGTTATAAGCAAAACTTAAATTTAAAAAAATTAGATTTTCTAATGAATTAAATTTTGAGTTACTGCTTAAGTTATAATACTTGTAGGATCAAAAAGATTTAGGGATTTCCATATAGGCTAACACACATTTCAAAATCAGATTAAAACAAAATAAGATAACTTATATTGATATCATTATAATGGATATTACAAACTAATGAATGATATCAATACAAAATAAAACTCAACATACAAAAATATTAAATGAATCAAGCACATAACTAAAACAAAATACATCACAATGTAACACATCACAAACTACTACATCACAAAACACATCAACTAAAGAAAAATATAACCAAGTACATGAATCACTCTGATAGACCCTGATCTATAGGAGGAAGAGGAGGTACAATACTGAAGAAGTTAAAATAACTGCTTATCATAAACACATTGGAACTAATATCATTCATCTGTGCTCTCATGTACACCATATCCTGATTGTACTGAACATCCTGCTGCTGCAAGTGAGTTTCAATTTGATCAAATATTTGATCAAAATGAGACTCTAAGCGATCAAATCTCTGAACCAAATTCTGCAGGTGCAGGTTCATGTTCTTCCTCTGAGTCACTAATAACATGTGTTTTACGTGGTTCATCTTTATTAAAGATTGCCCTAAACGATTCGTCGTTGTAGTAGAGAGGTTCTTCAAAATCTTCAATTGGATGAACCAATTCATACTTCTTTCTCTTATGGGCAACATGACCAATTTCAGAAGTCCATAAAGATAGTCAAGGATTAGTTGGCCTTCATCTATAGGTTGCTTAGTCATAATCAAGTAGGTTAATGTTGAAAGAAGAGGAGTAATGTTGTCTCTATCACCAGCTTTAGAAATTATAGAAGTTCAAAGAACATGTTGGATGATACGAGCATTGTGAACAAGAGAGGACACTTTAGGCATATACTCCTTAAATATAATTTTTCTAATCACTTCATTTATTTCACTCTAATCATAATAAGCAGTAGTGGTCATGGTATGGGCTCTAATTCACTTAGTCCTGAAGTTCAAAAAGATTCCTAGATCAGCCTTGGTGATTATAACTTTATTCTTAAAAATAAAGGACTTGATTACAGAATGGTCGGAGTTGAAGGACATGTTTGCTAGAAAATAATGAAAGGTCTCTTTGTTGTAGAGATGGACTAATGTGAGAATGAGACCAAATTGAGTTGAAGCAAACAAGTTCATTACCTGAAAGGTCATTTGATCCTATATAAGAACTCTATACGGGGTGATCTTAGTGAAGACAAATCTAGGAAAAGATTCTTTATTGGCTTTGGACAGAAAATTATCAGAAGAATTCTTGTGTGGACACTTGGCGAGAACCTTTTATCGCTTAATTGAACTTGACACAAATAAGATCTAAAGGAAGAATGGGTTCTAAAAGGGATGTGTGAGTGTGACTGTTGAGCTCAAAGCCGATCAATTTAATGAAATACGACTGTTCATACAGACGAAATTATTTTTGTCCCGTACGAAATTCAATTCATCCCGTACAAAAAAATTTAGTATGAAGCGACCTTTCATACAGACTTTTGACCAACCGATCGTACAGACGAACAGGAGTTCATCCTTGACGATCAGAAATTTATGATTATTTTAATGGCAGTTGAAACCATCCCTCACATCGATTCGCCAATCGTTCGTCCGGACGAACCAAAGGTTCGTACGTACGAAATATAATATTAAAAACGATCTTATCCAATTAACTATCATTCAACGTCCCATCATTTCAAAATTTTGTCCGGACGATCGTGATTATCGTATAAATGAAGTGAAAAATAAAAACAAAAAAACTGCACACAAAAGGTTCAAATCTGACAGTTGACACACTACACATTTCATCCCATATGAAAATATTTTCATCCTGGATGAATGTCACTTAGTCTTTTCAAAACATGCACTCAATCAAAACTAAAATACAAACACAACAAAAATACAATGAAAAAATGAAAACACAAACTCAAGGATAAAAAAAATACTAAAAAGAAACACACATCAATGTTTCAGAAGAAATATTTTTATTAAGCATTCAAATCTATTACTCTAAGCCTTGTTTTTAATGCACTAAAAGTATCAAAGGCTAAATGTTTTGTAAAAATGTCTACAAGTTGATTTTCAATAGAAACATGAGTGAGTTCAATTTCTCCTTTGGATACATGATCCCTAATGAAATGATGCCTGATGTCTATATGTTTGGTTCTTGAATGTTGAATAGAATTTTTAGAAATGCAAATAGCACTAGTGTTATCACAATAAATTGGAAAAGTGCCTATAGTTAATCATAAATCAATCAATTATTATTTCAACCAAAGTACTTGTATCACATAATTTTCTAATGTAATGTATTCAGCTTCAGCAGTAGATAGGGCTAGTAAATTTTATTTTCTACTGGACTAAGAGACTAAAGAATTTCCAATAAACTGACATATTCCAGAAGTACTCTTTCTATCCACCCTACAACCTGCAAAGTCAGAATCTGAATAACCAATTATGTCAAAAGAAGAGCAAAACTTAGGATATCAAATTTCTACATTCTGAGTTCCTAACAAATATCTTAAAATCATTTTTACTACTGTCAAATGTGATTCTTTTGGATGAAATCTAGCACACAAACAAATACTAAATATAATATCAGGTTGACTAGCTATAAAGTAAAGCAAAGATCTAATAATCCCTCTAAATTTCTTTTAATCAACAGATTTTCCCTTAGGGTCCTTATCCAACTGAACTGAGGAACTCATAGGTGTACTAATAGGTTTAGCATTATCCATTTTATATTTTTTGAAGATGTTCTTAACATACTTTGAATGACTAAGAAATGTATCCTCCTCAATTTGCTTAATGCTAAAGCCTATAAAGTAACATAAATCTCCCATTAAACTCATTTCAAATTCACTACTCATTATTTTAGAAAAATCATCACAAAGATATTTATTTGAAGATCCAAAGATGATATCATCAACATAAATTTGTACAATTAGTATATCCTTTCTAACTTTCTTCATAAAGAGAGTTGTATCAACACTTCCTTTTTCAAATGATCTTTCAAGTAGAATGGTGCTCAATCTCTCATACCTATCCCTAGGTGCCTATTTCAATTCATATAATGCATTTTTTAATTTGAAAATATGATTTGGGTATTTAAAATTTTTAAAACTTGAAGGTTGTTCTACAAAAATATCCTCTTGAATTACCACATTTAAAAATATACTTTTTACATCCATTTGGTACAATTTAAATAATCTAAAACAGGCAAAGGCTAACAAAATCCTAACTACTTCAAGTCTAGCTACAGGGGCAAAAATCTCCTCAAAATCAATCCCTTCAATCTTATTATACCCCTTAGCAACTAATCTAGTCTTATTTATAATGACTACTCCTGATTCATTCATTTTATTTTTGAATACCCACTTAGTTCCAACTACACTTTGATTCTTTGGCCTTGTATTAATTCTCAAACTTTATTTCTTACAAATTGATTTAACTCTTCTTGTATAGCCAAAATTCAAAACTCATCGAAAAGTTCTTGATCAATATTTATGGGTTCTATTGTTGAAATGAAGACTAAATGATTGACTTCTTTGTTTAATCCATGCCTAGTCCTTACACCCTCACTAGGTTCTCCAATTTTTAATTCCCTTGGCTGGTTTTTAGAAAATCTCAAATCACTAGGCAAAGGGTTTTCTATCTCCAAATTTTCTTCCAAATTTTCTTTCAAATTTATTTTATCAATCTTTTGGGAGTTAATCTCAATCTCATCTTCTACAACATTTGGCTCTTCCAAAATTTCAGATTCATCAAATACAACACGTGTGGTCTCCTCAATTATCAAAGTTCTTTTGTTGAATACTCTATAAGATTTTCCAACACTTGAGTATCCTAAAAAAATTTCTTCATTTGATTTTAGATCAAATTTTTTCAAGGCAGATTTTTCATTGTTATGAATAAATACCTTACAATAAAAAACATGCAAATGTGATAAATTAGGTGTTCTTCTTTTTAGCAACTCATAGGGTGTTTTATTTAATTTAGATCTCACATTTACCCTATTCAGAACATAATATATAGTGCTAACTGTTAAGATAGTTGCTATTTGCA